ACCCCCCAGTGAACATGTAGGCTGAGATTAAATCACCGATCGACGACAACATGACCCGCTACATAGGACGAGGTCTTCGTGCATTTTCATCGCGAAATCAGTTTTAAATCAACATTGAATCGCATGTTTTAATTTATATTAATGACTCTTACCTTCCAATATACATTTAATAACATAATATATTGCATCCTCCTAAGCAGGTGTCCACAATCCATACCTCCTTCTTCCCCCTGCAATAACCAATTTGGAAGCGCTCGATTAAAATGAATCACGTGATCTTATTATGTGCAATGACTTGTACATGATTTCTGTCGCAGTATTGCGACAGCCAATCAGATTGCGAGTTCTTAATCGGGGAAATGCTAACTGCCTATCGCAGGGGGTAAAAAGAAAGAATAATCTGGATTTTGAAGCCCTGTGATCGGAGGATGAATATATTGTAACTCTAAAGAAACACTCGATCATATCATTGAATTTCAAGTCGTAGATGGGAAGTTTGTTTTGTTTATGCAGCTCAACCTAATAACGTTTTGATTGGACATTCAGCCTGAAGTCACGCGTCGTGTCCACGCGACATCTGTCAATCAATAAGGTTTCGCGATACCCCTGATAGCGTAGATATTATGGAAATCTCGAAACCGTTGAATATTTGAGCATAATAACAGCAGAGATGTATTGGATTGTACAAGGCGGTAATAATTCAAGATCAGATAAGTAAAAAAAATACCGACTTGGGCAAGGCTATGCGTCACCCTTTAAGCACAATTCGAATGTCAACAAAATTATAGAGGTCTTATCTCATGTTATGTCCATGTCATGACTTGCATTCTGGCCCTACCAACACAAGTGCTGCCTCCTAGCTATTAATATATTAAACAAATTGTCCATTTATAATACTAATGCCTTACTGACAAGTTGCAGCTTGACATGCCGGACATTTTGGTTTGGATCCTTCACATGGATCAGCGAAACAATTCACCAATGTACCTAGATGAATAAATATATTTATCATTATTTATCCCCTCTGTTTGTTTTAGTTTCTAGTTCATTCCTTTGGTTAAAATGAAATTGTGTGATCTCAGCAGAAACTTTCAGAAATATGCCTATTGAACCCCCTCAAAACAAAGAGATAGAGTGAGATGTATCTGTCGTCAATGGGAGACATATCTCTTTATTTTACGGTGTCTCCAACGTTTTTATACAATGTTCAGATCAGTCTGTAATTTACACGGCACCATTTACACAAAACATTCTTTGTTGATATGAATAATGAAGCGGGGTTCATAAAATCCAAAAAATAAAGAGCAAGACTTGGGAAACTTGTAAATGTAAAAATGTAATTTATTAATAACTATCTGACTATTTTCAAAAGCTTTAATGTTTACAGAAAAAACAGTCGTCATTCTGTTTTTTTTATATTTCAAAATCAGCAGAATTGACAACGAGCAGCGCAAATTCGATGAATCAAAAACCGTTGTACTTACCAAAACGTCGCGGGGGACAGGGGTATTGACAATGATATGCTGCAGTGTTTACGAGAGATGCACATCCTAGCGTAATAAGCGCAGTCATCGTTCCCATCATGGCTTGTCTGCTTGCGATTATTTAAAACAATTACCGTATGTAGTAACAGAGCACAGTCTATCATTAAAATTCGAAACAATGGATGTAAAATGATATTGTTTTCAAAATCATTATCACCAATCTTCTCCATCTTGCGTTTTGATCATGAATTAAAGCCAATTTAACTCAATTTGTCATTAGTGTCGAATTTCAATCAAGTAAAGGGCATCATTATTCTAATTGATTGACCCGGTGCAGTAATTTAAGTCCAGTGGACTAAATATTATTAGTATATGTTCCTTGGTTCTATTAATATGACTTTTATAGAAAGAACGTCGAGACATCTACGAGTATACTTGATTCAATAGTTTACAATTTATATTCCATGAATACATATATTCCATTATTAATCATGACGCGACCTCTGTAATGCAGAATTACATTTGAAAACACATAATTAACACCCCAGTCACATTTGTCGTACAGCGGCCGTGCATCGACCGCAGATCATAAAATCAGTGAATTTCTGCGGCCCTTGCGGTCTCCGTTCGGCATCCAGTTTTTACAGGCCGCAGGGTAGCCGTAGAAATTATAAAATTATAACTCGGAGTTATAATATTTGTTCATTTCCTGCGGTCCCCGAAGAAATCAACAGGCCGTTGCCAGACCGCAAAAAGGTCCAACGGTGACCGCACGTCGGGTTTGTCGTCGACTTGCGTCTGCTGTAGGGTTTGATGGGTAATGTACGCTTGAAAACAGATTTTATGTCAGTTTTCGGTCATATGTTTGCTGTAAACACAACACAATACGTATACTGTTTGATGTAAGGTCACTGATACCACAGTAACTTATATTTCACTTGCACTTGTATATCCCAACACTGCAAATAACATTTACAAATTGTACTGATGTAGATAAAATAAAAAGAAGAATTAATGTTAATCAAAAGAAATTCAGAAACTTGCCACGCGGCTTCCGTAGAAAATGTGACTGCAAGAGTATCAGACCGCAGAAATTCCACGGCGAGCGTAGAAATGTTACTGACCGCAGAAATGATAGACCACACGCTCGCCGTTGAAAATGTGACTGGGGTGTAACACACAAGCTGCACTTCGTTTAGTGCGTTCCGCACAAGTTATGGTGGCATGGTTGAACTGTACGAATAATGTTCAACAAATGAAATGGCCAGGATTCCTCCAGTACAATGAAAAATATAAACAAAGTGGAATATTTGATAAGCGTGTCAACTATTGCATTCCTCAGCTCTGAACATTTTGGGATAGGTGTATTGTTTGCTAGTCGGACACCTGTCCTATCATCAGTACTTAAAGTTTTAAAGTTATCATAAAAACTTCGGAAAGCTCTTCATATATGCAACAGAATAGCCAGCCATTGTTTTTACATCTTTCATTCATGATGTGTTTATTCTATTCATTAAATATTCATTCAATATTATTTAGCATCGGGCAACTGTATAATCTTCTGCAGTTCTGGTAACAAACTTTATTACATCCACCACAGTTGTTGGAACTACAAGAACATTAAAACAAAATGTTAAACGTGGAACAGTAACAGGTGTAACGTTTGGACGCTTATTATAATAAAGGCTACCATTAAACTTCATATAAAATATATACCCCTCTCCTTAAAGGGACCCACCACCATGGTCACATGGTCAGTCGTGTGGAGGTAAGCTCCCAGTTGAAATAAAAGCACTGTCCTCATTTGGTTTATGTGAAAAGTAGCTAATACCCTCATGTATTGGTCAGTTTGTGTGTCACACGACTAATCCGCACCATATGCTTCATTCAACATATTTTATGCTATTAAGCTGCATATATAAACAGTACTTTGCAACTAAGGTCATACAGTATACTTACCCCTTGCAAATTGTAATTTATTGAATTCACAGTAAACCCATCAATTTTTAAGAAAACAAAGAATATTGTTCTCATGGATCTATTATTTATGTTAGACTAACTATGAAAATATAAATATGAAATAATATGTTAGCTTGAAGTCATATATAAGATGAAAACATATGTTCATGCATTTGCATTTTTCCAAAGGGAATATTCCCATGTAAGTAAATACAGGTGCAATATATAATTTATATGTATTTCTATGTCATATGTCTATACATGCGCGTATAGCCTAGTGATACATGTGAACAAGATGGTTCTGGAAAGAAATGAGCGTGGCAGATTTGCTAAAAAGCCACATACACCACAGAAGCAAGACCAATTTGAAAGTAAGTTCATTATTCTCAAGGGTCCACTTCAAGTGATAGCTACATTGCTACAGGGTGGCCTATCATTCTGAGACAAATGTATTATCCAACGATTGTGATTTTCGAAGCTAAAATATGATATCTTGAGCAGATGGGAATACATTCCCATGAGATTTGTATATATAGTCAAAAGTGATAACTATTTATTGAGTGTAATGAAACGTATCCTTCGCTAACTGCTTTTGTTTGAGATAATTATCATGAAATATTTTTAAATAAATTTTCATGTGTGTCATTGATCCTAATCCACCCTGTAGTCTGGTGTTTGTAGAGCATTGCATCTCGTACAACGTATTCTCACAAATATCAAACCTCATTTACTAATTAATTTTTTGTGTGAATATGAAGAGACCAAGCATTGCTTTTTTATGTTTACTGTATAGCTATATTTAGCCTTGATATCCATGATTTTTTAAAACAAAATCTCACCGTTAGATTTCGAGCTATTCATGTTTACTCATTTTTCTAATTGGAAAACAATGCAAATCTCATTTTTCAAAGGATAAAAATTGAAATTCTAAGACGGTGAAAAATCATTAAAAAATACACAGATTCAGAATCCGGCAAGCATTTCCCCTTATTCCTCTCCGTTAAGAAGTTTTGTAAGGTGTTGGGTCCCTTTATAAGGAAATGAACCCAAAGTCATCCTGTGAAGGCTTCTGGTAGCGAAAGTTATAGAGGCGAGTTCAACATTATGGTGTTTTACTTTTATCAAAGTAATATCAGGCAATCGAATGTTTCGTTATGAAATGTGAAAATATATTGAAAATGAAACTTACAGGCAAATGACACCATCTGAAGTGTCCACATCGGAGCATGGATCCTCATCACAAGTCACCTTGTCTAAATCTGCGCAGTCTAAAATAGCATACTCTAAACGATATCACTGATGTCCATCTCAACAAACATCGATTGTTAAATGTTTTCAAAGACGTAACCTAGTAAGCATGGTCAATATGGTGTCCCTAGTTACTCACGACGAAGATATATACGAGGGGTGATCCAAAAGTCTTTTTAATCTGAAATTATGCATGTATTTCATTGTCAAATTATACATGTAATTTCATTATTTATTTATATGTATTATACTATTTCTTCCAGGATAAAAGATACTCTTAAAGTAGGACCTGACCACACATTTGGCATCATGGTGAAGCCTGATGAGTATGGGGCAGGAGATCTGATGCATGCTAGGTCCCCGACCAATTACCCGAGGGGGAAGGAAAGAACCAGGGGGGTTTTAGCTGCAATTAGACAACATCTCAAGAAGGCCAACTACCACAATTTTCATGATTTACTGCATGCATTCCAACACTACGATAAGGTAAGAACTAAATAAATGTGTTACATTAAACTGGTAAGAACATGCTTGATAAATTCCATAGGTTCTGGGCCGATATAAAGATGGCAGCACCAATAGAATCCAGTATTATCTTTTTCTCAGAGAATATTTATAAATAAACACAGATCGATTACCAATGCCATCTTAATTTAAAAATTAATTCTATCGACCTCAGCCTATGATAAATTCACTGGGAGAAGAATTTTACATTGAAGTAATTGATCATTAAGAGCCCCAGTTGATATTTCATAGTTTCAATCATACCTGTGTAAACATTTGAGACCACCTTGAAATGTATTTACTGAACTCGATTGATTGATTTTGAAAATACATGTATACTCTTCAAAAATCAGAATTTAGAATATTTTATCAGTGGCTTTTGTATCAGTTTAGACAGTGATTGCGATTACTAAAATTGAATAATTTGCTCTTAAATGATCATAGTAATCCCCGATTATTAACTAATTGTTTCACATCCTACCAGCTTAACAACTTGAAGTGACCAATTATTATTGATATCAATGGACCACACAGGCACAATATAATTCTGTTTCATCTGTTGATGGATTACTTTATTATTATTATATGATGTTAATTTTACAAATTCATTTCCAGAATGGTTCTGGTAAAGTGGACATCAATGAATTGCGTGAAGTATGTGTGCAGTTCAATCTACCAGTTGATGCAGTTCTACTTGAGCAACTTATGGACTATTGTGACGTCGATCGCGACGGTTACATCAACTACATAGAATTCTCTAATTTCCTAAACTGGAAGGACAAAATGCCAACTGGTCAGCCTGAAGTTATTCAGTCACATCCAGGAACTCCAAAATTAGTAAAAGAAAAAGATCTAGTTGCTAAATCACCGACCAGTCGTGAATCAACCCCAAGAAGGATTCAAAAGCAAATTGACGCTGCAATGGTGGACCATAGAACAAGTGCATCTTTGATTAATGCTACAGTGGGCGGTATTTCAACAAAAGACTATAGAACATATGGAGTACCCACAATTCGCACAGATAAGGCAGCGCCAAGAATCCGACGTGTTTGTGATAGAACAAATTATGGTGATGAATCTGATGCCTTTGGTCTGGTTAACCCATCCATCTTTAGTACTAGGGGTCTTTCAGAGAAAGACTTCCTTAGAGCTAGACCAAAAGAAGAGGTATGTACTCATGAATTTATTTTTTATTTTATTCCACATTGTCTAAAACACTCATATATGGAGGCGAGAAATTAATCATTGTTTTTTAATCCTGTATTTATTCTTTAAACTTCATATACAAAGTCACAAGAGTTTTGTTTATTCTCTCTGTCACAAAGAATGTCAAACTATTATGTCAAACTTTCGATTGTAAAAAAATATGCGTCAGACATTTTGTCAAATTATTTGTTGCCATATTTATGAGCTGATTGTGATAAAACATTATTGATTGTAATGTGCCCATTGCCAAAATATGTAATTGCTCTTGGTGTCTTAAACTTACTTTAATTTTTAATTTCAGATCCGACAAGTATTCACTAACATTGGTGTCCACATGACTCTCGGTGACTTTGATAAAATATATGACCAAGCCGCATCATTTGACCCTCGGGGGCAAGTTAGCATTGAACTTTTCCGCAGTGTTCTTGATCAGAACGAGGCAGGACGGATTATTGTCGAATAAGCATAGTGAACCCTGGGAAATTTATATTGGCGTTAGATAAGAATACATGTAACTATGTCAAGTAAACAAACATGTCTAAAAACACCACAGCCTTAAGGTGAAGAATGGATAAAAACTGGAATACATATATATTTCCAAAACTTTTGGGGTAGAAAACATACATGTAATACTCATTAACAGTTGATGATAAATTGGAATACGTCAAAACTTAAAATACTTCAAAACTGACATTTAAATCTGGATTATTTTTCTGGAGAGATCTATATAAGAACAACATTAGCCTGTTAGCAATTTTTGGAAAACACTGATCTTAGTATGTTTCTAAAGTACTAATGTTTATCTGTGTTTCAGCCATTTGGTAACTAGCATTATAACTCAATTACATAATGTAACTGCTGAATCAATTACTCTCTAATTGAATTTTCTTGGGTTGAATACTCTCTAATTGAATACTCTTGGGTTGAATACTCTCTAATTGAATACTCTTGGGTTGAATACTCTCTAATTGAACATTCTTAGGTTTAATACTCTCTAATTGAATACTCTTGGGTTGAATACTCTCTAATTGAATGCTCTTGGGTTGAATACTCTCTAATTGAATACTCTTGGGTTGAATACTCTCTAATTGAATATTCTTGGGTTGAATACTCTCTAATTGAATATTCTTGGGTTGAATACTCTCTAATTGAATACTCTTGGATTGAATACTCTATAATTGAATATTCTTGGATTGAATACTCTATAATTGAATATTCTTGGGTTGAATACTCTCTAATTGAATACTCTTGGGTTGAATACTCTCTAATTGAATGCTCTTGGGTTGAATACTCTCTAATTGAATACTCTTGGGTTGAATACTCTCTAATTGAATACTCTTGGGTTGAATACTCTCTAATTGAATACTCTTGGGTTGAATACTCTCTAATTGAATACTCTTGGGTTGAATACTCTCTAATTGAATACCCTTGGGTTGAATACTCTCTAATTGAATACTTTTGGTTTGGATACTCTCTAATTGAATATTCTTGGGTTGAACACTCTCTAATTGAATGCTCTTGGGTTGAATACTCTCTAATTGAATACTCTTGGGTTGAATACTCTCTAATTGAATACTCTTGGGTTGAATACTCTCTAATTGAATACTTTTGCATTGGATACTCTCTAATTGAATACTCTTGGGTTGAATACTCTCTAATTGAATACTCTTGGGTTGAATACTCTCTAATTGAATATTCTTGGGTTGAATACTCTCTAACAGTCTAATTGAATACTCTTGGGTTGAATACTCTCTAATTGAATATTCTTGGGTTGAATACTCTCTAATTGAATATTCTTGGGTTGAATACTCTCTAATTGAATACCCTTGGGTTGAATACTCTCTAATTGAATAATTTTGGTTTGGATACTCTCTAATTGAATATTCTTGGGTTGAATACTCTCTAATTGAATACTTTTGCATTGGATACTCTCTAATTGAATACTCTTGGGTTGAATACTCTCTAATTGAATACTCTTGGGTTAGATACTCTCTAATTGAATATTCTTGGGTTCAATACTCTCTAATTGAATATTCTTGGGTTGAATACTCTCTAATTGAATACCCTTGGGTTGAATACTCTCTAATTGAATACTTTTGGTTTGGATACTCTCTAATTGAATATTCTTGGGTTGAATACTCTCTAATTGAATTTTCTTGGGTTGAATACTCTCTAATTGAATATTCTTGGGTTGAATACTCTCTAATTGAATACTCATTTGCACTTCAATAAGATGCAATATGCAAATAATTATAAAGTATTACACTTTTATTGCCTTAAATATTTGGATTTTTTATAAATTCTATTCCCATGTCAATTACGTTGTGTCAGTTGTTTGTATATAAAATACATTTTTATATGAATTTACTAGGAATAATTTCCATTAATATTGTAATATTTGTTGTAACTATGTTACATTTACATTTGAATTAAAAAATAGTGAATGCCATTATTTATCTTCAGTATTAATTACACTTGTGTAAAAAAATTGTAAAAATGTTGCTAATGTTCAATTTTAAACATAAAAAGCATTATAATTTCAAACACTGCTGAGACTATTGCATTAAAACATTATATTATGCACTTACCACAAGTATTTCACTTTTACAATGTCTGTGTTTTTGTCACTGTGTTTCTAGTTGTCATTAAAATCATTATGCAATAAATATGTCAATTTTTGAGCCTTATCAGTTTCACAGCTGACTTTATCTTTTTACAATGCCAATTTTGTATATAAGTGTATATAATGTAAATACTGTACATCCAAGAGCAAATAAACAAATGTTTATAATAATATATATGATATTAGTTATAACATATTAATATTGTGTTGAGAGTTCAGATTGGGAGCCTCACAGTGAAAGAGAAAATTGTCCCCACTCTGCAAGGAATATTGTCCTGATTTTTTTTATATTACCAGACCCAACTACGCAAAAGTTATTAGCCGGATTAGTAGGTATGGCTAATAGCATAGTCAAGGTGCGATATCCAAACTGCGTACATACCATGCACGCAGTTTGAAACCCTGACAAACTGCTTATTCAGCCCTTGTGTTTGCATATATTGAAAGATTCAGGATTGCTGTATATAGTTTAAGTAATATAGTATTTTCTATTTCTGTGAAAAGTGCGACATCTTAACTTATGTGTCGGTAATCGAAAAACCCGATTTATTAATCTGCTTATATTTTAAAACCTACGTTCATCTAGACATAACTTTCGCAATCACATGGTAGTCATATAATCGCCACCGGAGGGACGTATGAAACTATAAAACAATGCAGAATATATGTCTTAAAATGACGTTTGAAAACACTTGTATGATGCAATGTTGATATGCGCGCAGTTCATTGTACTATGCACGCAGTTTGGATACCGCGGCGTGATAGTATAATTTTTTGTTCGGCCACAGGTTGATATCTACGGAAAGCGATAGGGGACATGCGCATAATTCAAAATCGAATGGAGTTTTAACATGGGAGTGATATCACACACCGCGGCCCAGTCAGATAGATTTCATCGCGCACTGAATGAATTACAGGGGCCGCGTTGTGCAAAGTTAATTAAAATAAATTGCGCACAAATTCCGGCATTCAGTGCGCGATGAAAAAATGATTATCTGTGAATAAATAACGAATAAAAATTCGTGGCACCACGAATTTGATTTTGTTCGAAAGACTGCGGAGTGAGCCAGCGAAATGACAATTTTGGATAATATTGATGGCTCTAACGAAGAGAACTTTGAGATTTCCCGATTCTAGCGCGCAGCACATCCAGGACATGCGCACTTTTATCAGATTCGATTCTAATATGGTTTCAAAGATAATGTTCATTAAAAGAGGGCGTATGCATACAGATTATACGTGATGTTATGTTGAAGTGACCCTTGCAAAGGGTTCCATTGAAAATATATTATTTTGGGCCATTTCATATCTTTTAATTGATATTGTATAAAATATTTTCAATGTTTGAAAATTATAATCTTATAAATAACATTTTATGTAATAAAACTGTAACAAAATGGTAAATACGGAATATGATGCAATACAATGCAGTGCAATATGATGTTATACAATGCAGTGCAATATGATGCAATACAATGTGGTGCAATATGATGTAATACAATGCGGTGCAATATGATGTAATACAATGCAGAGCAATATGATGCAATACAATGCAGTGCAATATGATGCAAAACAATGTAGTGTAATATGATGCAATACAAAGCAGTGTTATATGATGCAAAAAAATGCAGTGCAATATGATACAATACAATGTGCAATATAATACAATAAAATGCAGTGCAATACGATGCAATACAATACAGTGCAATATAATGCAATACAATGCAGTGCAATGCAATACAATGCAAAACAATGCCGTGCAGTGTAATACAATGTAGTTCATTTCAATACAATGCAGTGCAATACAATGTGGTTCATTTCAATACAATGCAGTGCAATACAATACATCGCAATGTAGTGCAATGCAGTGCAATAAAATACAATACAGTGCAATTCAATACAATACAATACAACACAGTGCAATGCAATACAATGCTGTGCAATACAATACATTACAATGCAATAAAATACTGTGCAATACAATACAGTGCAATATAATACAATGCAGTGCATTGCAATGCAGTGCAATACAATATGGTGCAGTGCAATATATTGCTGTGCAATACAAAACAATGCAGTGTAATACAATACAGTGCAACACAATGTGGTACAGTGCAATACAATGCAATGCAATACAATACATCGCAGTTCAATACAGTGCAATACAATGTAGTGCAATGCAGTGCAATAAAATACAATACAGTTACAATGTAGTTCATTTCAATACAATGCAGTGCAATACAATGTGGTACAGTGCAATACAATGCAGTGCAATACAATACATCGCAGTTCAATACAGTGTAGTGCAATAAAGTACAATACAGTGCAATATAATATAATACAGTGCAATGCAGTACAATATAATGCAATAGAATACAATGCAGTGCAATACAATAAAATGCAGTACAATACAATACAATGATGTGCTATACAATACAATACAATGCAATGAAATGCAATTCAATGCTATGAATGTACACCTTCTACAGTCAAATAAACACAGATAAAATTGTAATAGTATGTTAGTGTATGGAGTTTGAAGTGGGTGGGGGATACAATTACCAGTCTGCTGATTGATGACTTGATAACTTAGAAAAGATCTCCTAGCTTTTAACAGGTGGCACTTATGTCTACCTTATGTTCTTGAACAATCTCGTCTAAGAAGTAAGAATACAGACCCGTATCCTGGATTAACCTGGGGGAGTGGTTTTACCAAGGGGGAGATTTTGCCAAGAGGGGGGAGCTTTTTGACAGTTATGGCAAAAAAATCATGCGAAAAGTGCTAAGAATGGTGAAAAACTGCATGATTTTGAACGAATATTTGGCAAGGGGGAGGGGGGTGAGGCCCCCTGGCTACGGCCATGGAATACATATAGGAACCTTCCTTCTCCCAGAAGAAATGGTATACAGGTATTACATCAATCATTCTGGTATTTTGTATACGAAGGTCTGTAGTTACTTTATTGAAAGATAGCAGTGTACACTGTGTACTACGGAAAGCGAAAGGGGATATACCGCAGAATTTAAAATTCAATGGAGTTTTAACATGGGAGTGATATCACACACCGCGGCCCAGTCAGATAGATTTCTGCGCACTTTATTTATTTAATTCACTTTGCACAACGCGCCCCCTGTAATTCATTCAGTGCGCGATTAAAAATTGGTTATGAGTGATATCGCACACCGCGGCCCAGTCAGATCGATTTCTGCGCACTTAATTTATTTAGCCAGAATATTTAAACACACTCAAAATATCGCGCTGAAGCTTGTATATGCTGGCGCGATGGAAATATAGTTTTCTGTTAATAAATACCCAACAAGAAAGGGTAGCACAACGAATTCAACTTTTTTCGAAAGACTGCAGACTTGACCCGCGAAATTGTAATTTTGGATCACAGTGATGCCTCTAGAGAGGATATCTATGAGAATTACAGATTATAGTGCGCAGAATTATAAAGTCAAACTGACCTCAAAATGGTAGTACACAGTGTACACTGCCATCTTTCAATAAAGTGTGTACTACACACCTTCGTATACAAAATACCAGAATGATTGATGTAATACCTGTATACCATTTCTTCTGGGAGAAGGAAAGTTCCTATATGTATTCCAGGACCGTAGCCAGGGGGCCTCACCCCCTCCCCCTTGCCAAATATTCGTTCAAAATCATGCAGTTTTTCACCATTTTGAGCACTTTTCGCATGATTTTTTTGCCAAAACTGTCTGAAAGCTCCCCCCTCTTGGCAAAATCTCCCCCTTGGTAAAACCACTCCCCCAGATTAATCCAGGATACGGGCCTGTATTCTTAGAAGAGATTGTTTAAGAACGTAAGGTAGACATAAGTGCCACCTGTTAAAAGCTAGGAGATCTTTTCTAAGTTATTAAGTCATCAATCAGCAGGCTGGTAATTGTATCCCCCACCCACTTCAAACTCCATACACTAACATACTATTACAATTTAAAATCAATTATATCTGTGTTTATTTGACTGTAGAAGGTGTACATTCATAGCACTGAATTGTATTACATTGCATTGTATTGTATTGTATATCACATCATTGTATTGTATTGTACTGCATTTTATTGTACTGCACTGCATTGTATTGTATTGCACTGCATTGTATTTTATTGCCGTATATTGTACTGTATTGCATTGTATTATATTATATTGCACTGCATTGTACTTTATTGCACTGCATTGTATTGTACTGCAGTGTACTACATTGTATTGCGCTGCATTGTATTGTATTGCACTGCATTGTATTGTATTGCACTGCACCACATTGTGTTACACTGCATTGTATTACACTGCATTGTATTGTATTGCACTGCACCATATTGTATTGCACTGCATTGT